GCCACCAGCGTGTTGGAAAAGTTTAGTTCAGCTCAGTTTGTTTTGAGCATCACAGTCAGAATACACTTGTATTCATAAATTCAACAGTCACAGAACCACGATATGCAAGGTGAGGCTGTTAATGGGAAAATTTTTCAATATGTTACTAAATTTCAATTTTATTAAAATAGACGTGACTCTCATTTGGATTTTTCAGCCCTGTGGAAGACAGCCATACACCCTCTGAATCAGAAGGTCAATTCCATCCTTCTCTGTTATACTGGGAAAAATTGACTGTGTTCCTCCAGTAATATAAACATGTAGAAGACTTGACTTTTAGTCCACTTGGGCCAAGAAGCATGAATTATTTCCCCAGTGTTTCCTCCCTCTGAATAGCTAAAAATGCTTAATGATGGGAGGCAGTGTTTTAATTAAGTACACCCTTTTGAGTCAGACTAAATGTGTATGAATCGGGACTCCCAACATTTACCAGCTATGTTACTTAACCTCTTGGTGACTCAGTTTCTTTGTGTTAGAATAAAGCTAATAATTATTTCCACTTCACAGAGCTACTGCAAGAAAATAAATGAGAAAGGTAGCCTACATGAAATAGATTGGGCACTGTGCCCAACATAATTATAGTAAGAGCTTAATAATTCATAGCTATTATTATCATTATCATCATCAACTAATATTTCTTTGCCCACACAAAAAGCAATGCTTCCTGTATACTGAAACATAAATTTGAGAGTGTATCTATGAGATCTTCTTATCATCTATCCAGTATGTGAAGTTGGGCGTATTTTTAGAGGTACCCATTCCAATAAAGACACAGGCTCAGTGTGGAGATCATTACATTCTTGGGGCACCTTGTTTGTGAGTTAGGAACACAGAGACTCAGGGTCCTTGCTCCTACATGGATGGAATAACTATCATTCAAGAAGGGGATGGAGGTTTTTCTTTAGCGTAGCTTCTGCATAAACAGGCAAGACTCAGATGACATCTACATGGAGACTGCAAAGGAAGGCAAATGAGACTGTTCTGAAATCAAGTCAGTTACCATTAGGACAAGCAAGATAAATCCGACCCAGATTTAAAGTGGTATTTTGAGTCTCTTACCTCTTCTGTCCTCTGGAGAGATGAAGAACAGCTGGTCGGTATCCTCTGTATAATAACCCTTCAAATAGAAGACTGAGTTTGCCTTTAGGTACTTTTCCTCTCCAGACTAAACAACTCCAAGTCCTCTAACCTTCCCTCATAGATTCTATTTTCTGTCTCTTTAATCATTTAGGTTCTCCTTTGGAACCTTTCCAGTGTCTCACATCTTCCTTAAAACAAGGAACCTCAAAAGAGACACACCTCCTCATAAGATTCTGTCTGCTACCAAATTCTTTACGACAGGATAGGGAGCAGTGGGGTATTTCCCTTCCATGTCACCAGTGTGAACACCCTAGTGTTGGGTTGCCTGTTTCTTATCAATATGCAATGCAATTCCCATTTCATGCATGATCTTCCACGATCCCCATGATCCTCACCACTTTGTCTGGTTTTTTTTTTGAATGTAGATATTAAGCCTCATTTGAGCCCGTCCTGCTGATTATCACCCCCGAGGATACTACTTTGTAATCAGCCATCATGCTGAATTCTAAACTGTCTTTAATGAACCATTCCTTAATGTGTTGAAGCCACTTTGGATTCTCTTAACACATTAGCAGTTCCAACCTAAATTCCTGTTGTTCGTAGAGTCTGGGTGTGCATGGAGCAATTTCAAGTATTATTTAAACCAGACCCAGGATGAAATCTTAGAGTACATTTTAAGCACTACTTTGTTTACTGAGCCATTGATTTCTTTTCCAGGCAGCAGTGAAGCCTGGGTAGGGAAAAGACAGACCCGATCCTATCTTTCTGACCTGCTGATGAGAATGGCATATGCTTTTTAAAGCCTTCCTGAAGCTAAGATATTACGCAGATGTGGTTAGATTTTTTAATTCCCAGCAATACACACACTAAAGTGATATTAAGCAACAAAGATGGAGTGTGGGGGGGGGCAGGATATTTATTTACATTATACTTAAAGCCCCTGATTTACTTTAAAAGGTACTGATTTACACATCATAAATTACACACTGGATTGAAAAAATAAAGAAGCAACAGCATTAGGAAATCATCAGTGGAAAAGGCTCTCAGAAAGGAAGAAAAGGAGCACTTCTGGAATTATTTTAAAAATTATTCAATTTGAACATGGTTCCCATAAAACTTATCAAATACTGATTTGCCACATAAAAGGATGCTCATGAATCTGCTTAGAACTTCCACCCCATGTCAGGAGAGCTGGAAAAGGGGAGGGAGGAGGAGCTAGCATTCATTTTAATATGTGTAAGCCAGATACTTTGCATTGGCATCACGATACATCTGGCTTTTTCTGAAGTCATCAGCCTCTAACTTGCCTTGACCCAGGAATTGCAGTCTTCTGGGGACTGGCTGGCAAAGCTTGTCTCCCTGGACATGCATAGAGTTCTCCTCAATTCCACGAGGTGGTGTTGGTTGCAGTACACAACCTCCTTGAGATAGACTTTATCCCGAGGTTTTGTTTCCTTCCAGTACTTCTAAAGGAGGCATGCCACAGCCTGGCACTCCTGCCTGTTTCCGGTTTCCTCTTGCACTGGCCTGAATGAAGCAACTGGAGGTGGTAGTTCCAGGACTGGTAATTATGATGAGTATTTACCGAGTGCTCTTGGGATGCTTCTCAGAATGGGCAGATTTCCAGCCTGGGCTTGACATGGGCTGGCCTCTCCTAGGCTCTAATTACCCATTCCAGTGGCAGTAATGGTATTGGGAATTGAAGCCTTCCCTGGCCTCCTCCATTTTAATTAATTGCTTTGAATTCCACCAGATCTGTCCATTGCAAAGTTCATTTGCCTTTAGGGGTTGCTAGATGCCTAGGGAAAAAAAAATAGCTTAGAGACACACAGGGGCAGGGTGGAAACCTGGCAAGATTTTGGTGCAAACCCCAAGGAGAGGGGAGGGTGTATACCTGTCCATGCAAGTATGCAAGTCCCTGGGAAGGACTCACAGGGCTGGAGTGAGTTTATTTGTGCCATTTAACCCCAGGCGCTCTCCGTACCTCCAGCTCAGCTTCCCCTGGGAGCTCCAACTTGGAGCCCTCCCCAAGCCAGGTGAAAATGTGTTTTGAGCAGAAGTTCCTTAATGGTTCGAGGTTTGGCACAGCAGTGCTCTTACTTTTCAACAAATGTTAGAAGTGTAAAAATGGAATAAATTTACTACTGAAGTTTTGAAAAAGCAATGAAAAGCGACTCCCCCCCCCACCCCCAAACCCCTCTCCTACTTTTAAGAAAAGCAAACACTCTTTTCCTGTCTTATTTGTATTACCATTAATTTAAGACAGGAAGCCCTCAGTGGGTGTGATGTAAACAATTGGGCCTCGTGGGTCGGGCTTCCTCATCAGTTTGCAGCTGGAGAGATGGTTGTGCAGTCCAAGCCCATTCGGGCCTCTCTAGGGGTGGACTTGCTGACTGAACCCGCTGAAGGTGGGAGGGGCAGGCGGGCAGGCGAAGGTATAAAGGAAATGCTTGAGTCGTGCTGTCACGGGGCAATTGTAATTCAGGGGTGGTAAATTTGGTTACTCCTGCAGAAAGGATCTGACCGGTGATTTCTGGAAAGTTCCCTGACATCCCACCCTGTGTGAGAGTTGTGATTTTAGTACACCCCCCCCAAAAAAAACCCATGCTTCTGCTGATTATGAAACTGAGTGGTTATGAAATGAATGATGTTAGGGAGGTGGAGCCTCTTTTAGGGTGGCTCTGAAAGAGAACTTCGGAGCTGGGTGAGGGTATTGGGGTACGGGGGGGGCGTTTTCTCCCTCAATCCTGCTCCCAGTTTGCATCAGGAAGCTCCTGAGCCCTGGACATAAACAAAATCGCCTGCCTAAGAAACCCCCAAACTCCTTGCCATCCTTCCCGGGGCGGTTTCCTTTTCCCTGCGAGAGGAGGGGAGTGTCGGGGAAGGGATTCTGGAATGCTGTGGAGTTTTGACAAGTGAGCCCGGGAGTGCCGAGCCGCGTTAGGATTACATTACAGTCTTTTCATAACCTCCTCAACCGGGGCCCGAGGAGGGAGGGAGGGAGGGGGTCCTCCCACAGATCTGCAGCCAGGCGAGGGGAGCGTTCGGGAAGTCCTGCACGGATCCTGCTGCAGGACTGCCCGCCGCGGTCGGGACCTCGGGAGGGCGGCGGCCCGGGGCGGGGAACCGGCCTCTCGCCCGCCCCTCCCTCCCGACGGCCAGCAGGTGATTAGGCTAATGACCGGCCCCCGGGGGTGGCTCCACCCGGCCCCCACGGATTACCCGAGGCCAGCGGCTCAGGACGCAGTCTCCGAGGAAGCTGCGGGAAGGGGTCGGAGAGGAAGCCCCCCGAGGTGACTTCAGAACTGGAGGTAGGAATCTGCCTGGAAACCCCTCCCGCTCGCCGATCTGATCCGGGCTGCGGTGTAGACGGAGGCTGGATCCCTCAGCCTGGGAATTGAGCCACAGGAGGCACGAGACC